AAATCTGTTAAACTTTGAGTCACCACAGCACATGCCTCTTGCAAGGACAAGGTTGGGGGTAGGGTCACAGATTAACAGCATCTCAAATACAGAACAAAATGGAGTCTCTTATGTCTACTTCTTTCTATATAGACACAGTAACAGTCTGATCTCTTTCTTTTCCCCACAACAAGCACTGTGATTGTGATGCCCGGTGTCAGTTTGGAGGAATGGGTATTTGATGAGTCAGTGTCAGTCTAGGAAGGCTTCTTGGAAGAGGCGACTATTGAGCCAAGTTATAAGGCTGTGCTTCTTCTTCTCTTATGTGCATAGGAATTACCAAGGCTCTGATTCAGTAGGGCTGGGGTGGGGTCTGCAATTCTGAATTTCTAACAAGATCCCAGGTGGTGCTGATGCTTTGAGTAGCAACATTCCAAAGGATTATCGAGTTACCGGAATGAAAACGGGGCTCGGTCTTTCGAAGAAAGACACCAGGCAAAATAGAGCAAAGGGGGAAGGTAAGCAGTACCATGAAAAGCAAGGTGTGTGAGGAGGGAGTGGATGAGACAGACCTCGCTTGGGGGGTCCCTGGCCTGAGAAGGGCCTGGTGGAGTGAATGATGGAGTCTGGAGTCGCCTGTGCATGACAGTGTTTCTCAAGGTGGAGCCCAGCTCTATCAGAAGCCGTTGGGCACTGGTTGAGAATGTGCATCACTCCACCCACAGAACTTTGGATTTTTGGAGGTCTGGAGGTGGCTCAGGAATCTGCATTTTTAAGAAGCTTGCAAGGCAATTCAGATGCAAACTAAAGTTTAATAATCTGCTTTGGGCAATTAAAGGTTTTCTGAGAGAGGAAGGACAAGATTAGATTTGCATTTTGGAGAGATGCTCTGGGTACCTGAGGAAGATGAGGCTGGGGACAGGGAGGCTGGGGAAGGGCTAAGGTGGTTATGCAGGCCAGAGAAGCTGAGGGCTTGCAACAGGATCCTGGCAATGGCAACGGAGAGGATGAACTCAAGTGACATCCATCAGTCATTCCGAGTGGGCTGCCACTCATGAGTATATGGGGGCAAGAGAAATGATGAGTTCAATTTTGCCAAGTTTGGAGGATATCTAGGTACAGAAGTCCATCAGGCAATTGAATATGAGAGTCTGAAGTTCAGAAACGAGGACCAGGTTTGGGTATAGATTTTAGAGTCAGCCACTTGTAGTGTATTTACCTTTAAGCACTATGGTGAACTTCATGTTGGCTGCAGTAGGCTTTTCAGATCTTCCCAGAGACTATGGGTGGGAGCGAGGGGAGAACGGTGGTCTGAGTACTAATTCTGCCAAGAACCATATTATTACTAGTGGTGATGCTGATCATCGCGTGCGGGGACCAGACCTTTCCTGGAGCATGTCCGGATCTTGTGTCAGTTCTCCCATTGAAGACTTGCAGGCTTCTTAAGTAATGAGTCCAGCCTCCCAGAATCAGCCTGGGAGAATGGAGGACCTCGTTATGGGGATCTATCAAATCTTTCTGCTGTGCTTTGACCTTGTAAGACACATTTTCACACTCCAAGGGTAAATTGTGCTGAACATGATAGCATCAGCTTATGGAGCTCTGTGCCGGGTTCTAGGGATGGTCTCTGCCCCTAAGAAACCCCAACCAATTGGAAGAGACAGACAAGGAGTTGGACATTCATGCTGTTATGTGTCCAGTGCATAGAAATCTAAATAAAACTGGGGTTTCAGGGAAGGCTTAGTGGAAGAGGTGACGCCTGTTAGATTTTGAGGGAGGAACAGAAGTTGGGTAGACAGAGTAATGGAGGTGAGGGAGAAGAAATATTTTAGGCAGAGGTGACAGCACATGCCAGGCACAGGGTCATGAACCAGGACATGGTCAGGGAACAGTGAAGACTTAGATCTGGCTGGAGCAAAGGCCTATGTGGAACAGAGATGGGAAACCAGTCTAAGCGGGAAGGAGCAGAGCCTACCATGAAGGGTCTCATTGTGTGCAACGATATGGAATTTAAAGTAATCTTAAAAACTCTAAGGAGGTCCAGGCACCATGCCTCACACCTATAATCCCAGCACTTTGAGAGGCCAAGGTGGGAGGATCACTTGAGTCCAGGAGTTCGAGACTAGCCTAGGCAACATAGTGAGACTCCATCTCTACAAAAGTTTTTCTTCTTTTTTTTTTTTCTTTTTTTTTTTAATTAGCTGGGCATGGTAGTATTGCCTGTAGTCCCAACTACTCCAGAGGCCAGGCAAGAGGATTGCTTGAAGTCTAGGAGTTCGAGGTGATAGTAAGCTATGATTACACCACTGCACTCCAGCCTGGGCAACAGAATGAGACCCTGTCTCAACAAAACAAAACAAAACAAAACAAAACAGAAAACCCCCACAAAACTCTAAGGAGGGACACTAACTGACAGCTAGGTGTGGGTGAGGACCAACCAGGTTTCTGCAGTGATCACCTGGGCATGAAGAGGAATTGAACCAAGACAGTACAGGTGGTCCAGCCACCAAACCTATCTCTATTTTGTCTCCTCCCCACAGCCAGCAGCCAGAACAAGCCACCATCTCCCCTGGGGTCTCACAGTAGCCTCCTGACTGCTCTTGCTGCTTCCACACTTACACTTCCTGTTCTCTGCAAGGCAGCTGGAGTGACCTTTCACTATGTAAGTCATATTATATCCGCTCTCTGCTGTAAACCTTTCAATCAGTTTCCATGAATGGTTCTGGGAATAAAGTCCAGCTTCCTTCCCCTGATTCACTTGATCTGGCCCTTCCCACTTGTCTGACCTGTTTTCTAGCCCATGCTCCCTGTCCTTGTCTATACTCCTAATGTGTGGTCTTTCTATTCCTTAAACATGCCTGGCTCAGTCCCATGTTAGAGCAATTCTGCTGGCTCTTCCTCCTGCCTGGAACTTCACACAGCTGGAAATTCTTGCTTTTCAAGTTTTAATTTATTTTTATTTTTATTTTCTGAGACAGAGTTTCACTCTTGTCACCCAGACTGGAGCGCAATGGTACGATCTTGGCTCACTGCCACCTCTGCTTCCTGGATTCAAGCAATTCTCCCACCTCAGCCTCCTGAGTAGCTGGGATTACAGGTGCCTAGCACTGCATCCAGCTAATTTTTGTATTTTTAATAGAGATGGGGTTTCACCATGTTGGCCAGGCTGGTCCCGAACTCCTGGCCTCAGATGATCCACCCACCGTGGCCTCCCAAAGTGCTGGGATTGCAGGCGTGAGTCACCACGCCTGGCCACAAGTTGTAATTTAAACATCACTTCCCCATAGAGACTTTCCCTGACAATCCCCTCAATCCCCAGGAGCTCCTCAGTCATTCTCCATCAAAACACCCTATTTCGATTCTCTGAACAGCTCTTATTACTATCTGGTATTTTCCTGTTTGTTATATATATTTATTTTATCTCTCCCCTGTAGTAGACAGTGTCCAAAAATGGCCACCATCAAATCTTTCTCCCATTGTATACACATGCTGCTCCACTGTTCAAGAGGTCAAGTTTATTTCTCCTTCCATTGAATCTGGATTCGCCTCATGATTTCTTATCACTTGCTTTGACTGACAGAACAAGGCAGAGAGGATGCTGTGCCAGTTCTGGGCCTAACTTTCAAAAGGCTTGTCAACATCTGCTTTTACTCTTGGAGACCAGCTACCATGTAGCAAGTCTGACTACCTTGAGACCACCATGCTGTGAGGAAGCCCAAGCTCTCCACATGGAGACAGGCCATGTGGAGGAGTAAAAAATGCTGATGTTTGACAGTATGAATGCTGGAAACCAAGGAATTGAAATGAGAATGTGGGATATTGGAGTTTGTGTGTTTTCAATAAGTTTAGGGATATTGAAGTTTACCATTTCAGTTCCGAGTTTTGAGAATGTACAGGATATAGAGATGGCTGAGGTGGAGAGGAGACAATGGTCACCAAAGTTAAGGAGGTGAACAAATTTGAGGCCAGGATACTGGCTGATTCACACATGAAAATTCAGCTTTTCCAGGGCGATGGCAGGTCTGGCAGTGGGGAGAGGCACTGAAAGATTCCGCTTGGGAACTGTGAGAGCCACACAGGGGCAGGTGGTTTCCTTGGAAAGATCTAGTTTTGATGGAGGCAAACAGATTTCAGTGAAGGGTCTGCAGCCATAGAA